TCTGACCAAGAAACAAAAGTCAGTTACTGTCAGTGGCGAACAAAACTACAGTTTTGAAATTAATTCAAGTTTGAGTGTCATGAGACCAGGGAAAAAAGTGTGGGATATAAACCCAACTGAACTTACGCTTGGAGTCAAAGTGAATGCGTTAAAAATTAAAGACGTGCGCGATTTATTACAAAAACACTTTGGTGAAAAATGGAGTGAAATGGAAAATGTAAAATGGTACAACGAAGTGATAAACAATAATGAAATGATGCCTGAAAATCCACTTCCGGAATGTGAGTGCCTAAATAATAATGCGTGTGATGAAGTCATGGAAGTCAATCAAGTTGTGGCGGACTTTTGATTCAGAAATGTAAGACTTAGCTATTGTCTACCGATCAATTAAAAAGGTATCTAAAGAACTTTTGTTGCTAGTTTATTGATCGGGTTTTTTTTAATCTTATTGACAAAATATTGTATTTGCCTAATAAATTCATATTTTTACCACATACGGTATTTTAAGTTTTTTTTTTATTTTCACCAAAAATATCTTTAGTTTAGGCCTACAGGGCAAGCCCTGATACATTGTTTACACTGATAGTTTACTGCTGACTTTAGATATCAATGTCACCATCAGCAATATTTTTGGTGACAAAAACGACCATCTCCACATGTTGGTTACAAACACGGCCAACTCCATATTTCAATGTTAAATATCTCTTTAACTACAGTGTCTCTTTAACCTGTCAGTGTGGGAGCGGAGATCAATATTGTTGTTGCATTGTATATTGTTTATTATTGTTCATCAGTGTTGTTTATTTATTGATTCATATGTTTATTGTTCATGTCATTGATTGTCCATTTTCAGGTAATATTTTCTTGGTCATTTGTTATATTTAGAGGTTAGCTTAGGTTGGTGTTATGATTCATCGTGGGTGGGAGCCCCAACATTGCATTTAAGGTTATATTAATTCGAAGGCCCCAAGATTAGCTTAGTTGTTGTTTGTAAATTTGTCTTCTTGTTATTTTCAACATGGCAAAAGTGAACCCTGATTATTTGTCAAAGGATGAGTTAGTGTGGGAAGTTGAGCAAAGAGGTGAAGTGCCAGCCAAACTGGTGGTTGACATGAGAAAGCAGTTGAGGAAGTTAGTAAGCACAGATAAGGTGGAATTGAACGGACTTGTCGAGGATGTGGAGACTGAGCTGGGAGTGTGCCAGGAGAAATTCTTTGAACTTTCGGCGATGGTGAAAGAGTTGAAGGAGGGCAATGGTAGAGCAGCTCTAAGGGTGACTCAGCGTCTGCTTCATCTTGATCGTCGGGTTACTGCGCTGCGACAAGATCCTAATTCAGCGGCTAAAAGTGACGAGATTTCCTCACTAACAAACGGAGTTGGCAATTTATTAGATGGTTTGAAGCGGATGGAGAGTACGTCCGAGGAAGCCATCTCTAAGACCTCTTTGTTGTCAAAACCAGTTGTCGGTCAATCTTCACAAGAAATTAGCATGAGCGACGCAACCATGACTACGGAACCGTCCACTCTCAGGGTCAATGAAATTGTGAACAAGTTTGAATCCCGCTCTTTGAGTCAAGGAGTCCAGAAGTTGGATGACGGTGTAGTTCCTACTGTCCAACCTAGCCTAACTGTTGAGCAGCCGTCGGCTGTCTTAACCACCAACGCTTCTCAAATTCAAGAACCCACACCTCAACTGACTTCACAAGCTGGAACGTCTTTTGGCTTAAGCCACCCGTCCATTAACGCCCCTAACTACAACAAGCTGCCTAACCCGCTTAGTGGATTGGTACAACAGATCCCTGCTACCGATGGCTTGGATGTCAATGTGTTGCTTAATTTCCTTAGTAGTCTGATTCAACTGAGAAACTTTCCAGGAATGACGGACCAGTCCTTATTACAATTGGCCTATCCTTGCTGTAGAGAGCCTCTCTTAGGTAAATTAATCCAGTATATGCATCCAAGTGGCAAATTTGATGCTTTCCATGAGTTAGTATTGCAATCTTTTCTTCCCATGAGATTGAGAGAACAGTTGAAGCAACAGAAATTCTATAGGCTACAAGGGGAGAACGAAAGCTTGGCAGGTTTTGTAAGCTCGGTGAGACATGCCCATACCTTGCTTCGCTTAGGGTTGACAGAAAAGGATCAAATCGAGGTGATAATGAGTGCCATGACCTCAACGGAGCGCTCTAGATTAGTATTTTCGGAGAGGCCGACTTCTTTTGCCGATTTGGATAAATTATGTGTGACGTCAAGAAGTATGGAGTTCACTGATGAGCTTAGAGCTCGAGAACCTAGAAGGCGCATTGGAGGAGTTATGGCTGTTAGTGAGAGGGAGATGCCACCACAGAGAAGATATGGAGGTGCTGTAACTTGTTACGGCTGTGGTCAACGAGGTCATATTCGTAGATACTGTCCTGGTCCTAGGCCTGCTCATTTCATTCCAAAAAACGGGCCATGAAGGGGGGAGTGTCCCGCGCTTCTCCCTTAGTAAATAAATATAGTCCAGAGTTTCGACAAAAATACTCTCCGAAGACAGTTCAAACATCAAAAACTCCTATTAGGCCTACGTCAAAACATATTACGGAACCAAAATCAAGATCCAAAAATCCGGAAACTTCTGTCCTGGCCCAAGTTGCTAGCCAAGGGTTTTCAGCCAAAAGGTCTGTTTCTCCATTTGTAAATATTTCCACAAAACAATTTCACTTCCGTGCCTTATTGGACACTGGGTCTGTCCGTTCTCTTATATCTCAGGAGCTGGCCCAGAAATTGCAGGAACGCCGAATAATTAGACAAACTGAAATTACTGAAGTAAGGTGTTGGACTGCTTCCAGTGAACCCTTAATCATAAAATCCTTATCGACCTTTAGATTCAAAATAGAAGGATTTTCTTGGGAGTGGAGTTTTCTGGTGGCTGATGGTTTGGCACTGGATTGTATTTTGGGTGCAGATTTCATCTCGAGGACCGGTCTTACTCTGGATTTGGCTAAGGCAGAGGGCCGTTTTTCATTTCATCGTAGGAGGATTGTGCCTTTTGTAGACTCGAAAGGAGTAGCTTTGAAGGTCATGGAGGTCGAGTGTGAGGAGAAGGACCCGGTAGACCCATGTGCCCATCTCCCAATAGATCAACGGAGACGATTTTCTCAACTTTGTGATAAATACCCAGTTGTTCTCACCGAAAAACTAGGCCTAACGAATTTATTAGAATATAAGGTTAAATTAACCGACACAAAATCAGTTAGATCACATCCATATAAATTCGCACCCCCAAAGATGGAGGTATTGAGGAAGAAGGTTGAGGAGATGTTACAGCAGGGAGTGATTGAGCCTTCTACGTCTAGTTATTCTAGTCCAGCTTTCCTAGTCCCCAAACCAGGAGGTAAACATCGTTTTGTTGTAGACTATCGTAAGGTGAATGCTTGCATTGAAATTGAATCTACTCCTCTGCCTGATCTTCATTCCGCCTTTGATTGGTTCTCCAAGGCTAAATATTTCAGTATTTTTGACCTTAATGCTGCTTATCATCAGATCCCCTTGGACAAGGAAAGTCGCCATATTACTAGCTTTTGCGTTCCCTGGAACTTGTACCAATTTACGAGAGTGCCGATGGGTTTAGCAGTAGGTGCACAGACCTTGACTAGACTCCTGGATTCCATTTTTCATGATTTGAAATTCAAATGTGTCTTCAACTATTTGGATGATTTATTAGTCTACAGCGAAGATTTCGATTCACATATGACTCAAGTGGAGGAGGTCCTTAAGAGGTTGCGACATGCTGGTCTCACTGTAAACCCAGATAAGGTTAAATTCTGCCACCAACAAATTTATTTCCTTGGCCATCTCGTCTCTCACAAGGGAGTGTCTATCGACCCTGCACGTACTCAGAGTATAAGAGAATTCCCCCCACCTAAGGACGGAAAGGGCATTTCCCGTTTTGTGGGGATGGTAAATTTTTACCGTAGATTCATCCCAAATGCGGCAGAGTTAACGGCACCTCTCAATTCTCTGCGAAAAAAGGGTTCCAAGTTTGTTTGGGGTATTGAGCAGCAAAAGGCCTTTGAACAACTGAAGGAGGCTATTATTTCTCCGCCTGTTTTACGAATGCCCGATTTCGCTCAACCCTTCATTCTTCAAACGGATGCTTCGTCAGTAGCGGTTGCCGCAGTTCTGTCCCAGGAGATCGATGGGTTTCGTCAGCCAATTGCCTTCGCCTCCCGCACTCTCACCGACTGTGAAAGGAAGTCGTCCATCTACGAGTTGGAATGTTTGGCAGTGGTCTTCGGAGTGGACAAGTTTCGACGTTTTCTAGAACACTCAGAATTCCTGTTGGAAACAGATAACCAAGCTTTGTCGTGGCTTCTGGCACACCCTCGTCAACTTGGGAAAATTGGTAGATGGGTTATCAAAATTTCTGCCTTCAAATTTAAAGTCCAACATGTCCGAGGCACTCAGAACATTGTTGCTGATACGTTGTCACGTATGTATAACAATCCCGATAAAAGAGTCCCACAGGAACCCACCAACATTCAGTGCTGCAACATACTTGTTGATTTCCCCAGTGCTTTCGAAGATATATTGTCCTATCAGTCGAAGGATCCGGAGTTGGGACCTATTCTACAGGACCTGCAAGCTGGAGTAGAACACCCTCCATACTTCCTCTCAAAAGGTGTCTTGGCATGTCGTGCCCAAAGAGGCAACAGATCACCGAAGATCGTCCTTCCCAGCAGCTTGATTCCCATGGTTTTCTCGTATTATCATAACTCTTTAATAGGCGGACATTTGGGTATTTTAAAGACCATAGCAAAAATACGTCAACAGTTTATATGGAAAGGTATGGATAGAGACATCGCGGGACGAGTAAGAGCCTGTCACCTGTGTTCGCTCAGCAAACCAGCACAAAATTCTAAATTGGGATTTCTCTCTTCTGAGGTGGCCGAAAAGCCATGGAGAAACTGTTCATAGACTATGTGGGACCCTTCCCGCGTAGCAAGGATGGCAAAACCATGCTTCTTGTAGCAGTGGACGCTTTCTCCAAATTTGTTTGGTTAATACCTCTACGTCGAGCTACCACCCAGAGCACCGTAAAGGCTTTGCACTCTCATTTGTTCCAACATTTTGGAGTACCTACCACCATTGTGACGGATAATGGAAGTCAGTTTACCTCACATATATTCAATAGGATGTGTTTTGGACAGGGTATTCTACATGTGACCACATCTCCTTATTATCCACAGCCGTCTCACGCTGAAAGATTTAATCGCAATCTTAGAGCTGCACTAATTGCTTATCATGCTGAGAAGCAAGATTGTTGGGACCAGAATCTTAATTGGCTCCAGTTGGCGTTCAATACTGCTCTGCACGAGGGACACAAATCCATCCCATTTCAACTCATGCTGGGATACAAACCTAATAATCCGCTGTCAAACATTTGGAAAATAAACCATCTACTTCCTGATTCTCCGGACTCCAACATTAAAGAAGCTTGGGCTGCTGCGAAACGAAACCTACATCTCTCTCATGAAAGAGTAAGGAGGAGGTACAACGTGGGTCGAAAAGAGAACCCCTTCAAGATAGGACAATTGGTGTACTGTTTGGCTCATCCAGTAAGCTCAGCTATTGAAAAGAAAGCTGGAAAATTATGTTACCGCTGGACTGGTCCTCACCGAATTGCTCGCTTCCTTTCCCCTGTCACTGCTTTGTTGGTAGATCCACTCAGTGGAGGGAAATTTCGAAAAGCTCATGTTTCCCATCTGAAGGAGTATAAGGGTACAGATCTGAAATAGTTATTAGGTTATAGGCGGGATTAGCAACGTGGGGTCTGATCAGCCCCAAGTTGCCGGTCCTGGGACGTCTTTCTCCCTTGTCTCTTTACTTTGTTTTGTCACCAATCAGCGCTGATTTCCAGGGTGTTCCCCCTAACACCAATTTGGAGAAGACGTCTTTCCCTGTGTTTTTTGTTTCTGTCCCTGTTCCCCAGGTCCTCCTTTGGTGGAGGAGGTTGAGCCGTGCGAGTTGACGGCTCAGGTCTTCTATTACATATAAGTTTTTTTTTAGGCGGAAGTGTCCGCTTGTTTCATTCGTAGGCCGTTGAGCTTCTAGAAGGTTCTCGCAACGTTCCAACGTTCCAGTTTTCTCGTCAATTTCCGGTTTTGTGGGGCCGTTTGGGTTGTCGGCTACGGCCAGTCTTCTTCTTGGGTTACGTTGGCACTCGCCACTTTTGGTTTCTTCGTATTGAGGATTTTGATCTGTGGCAATGCCAATGCCAGTTTCAGTTAATATGTTGTCTTCAAGTTCATCAAAGGGGCGAGCTACTAGTATGTCTTCGTAAATTTTGATTATGTTGGGTAAGTGATTTTCATCGTTAATTAATCAATTGAGTTAGTTTTTTCTGTTGCTCCACACACTGGCAGGATTACCACGTGTGGCCACAATGTTAAAGTTTTATTTTCACTTGTGGTAAGTTTGTTTAAGTATTTTATTGTGAGTAATTGCTTTGTTCTGAGTCAAGTAAACTTTCAGCGATTTATTTAGGTCCTTGGATCTGAGACTTGGGACTGTACGGTCTCTCAGCTGAATCGAACCTAGGTTTAGAGAAATGTGAAATTTATTATAGGCTAGGCCTATTCTTTGTCCAAGTGTAGATTCTTTGTTCAAGTGTAATTTCTTTGTTTAAGTGTATTATCTTATATATGTAGGGTCATTTTGTTGTAAAAGTAATTTTTTGGTAACGACTGCAAGTGGTACTGTCTTATGTTAGTTTTACGATGTAGGCTAGGGCTTCACCCTATCTAAGCCTTGTTACCAGTAAGACTGAAATTTGTTTAAAACTAGCCTAACTAGTAGAAGTTTATATTCTTCAAGAGTCAAACTATGGCCTAGGCCTAGTACAGATTTTCAATCAAGGGTGCTACCTTAACCTGTAATTGAAGTAGGCCTGTGTTTTACAAGATATTATTGGCTGTGAATTATGTTGAAAGGGCTCCCGGCTATGACTGACACCAGCCTGATTTGAGACCTGTGACGAGGCCATGAAGAGAGGACCGAGGACCACACACACACACATCCTGCTGACCATGTAAGAAGCTACTGCTGCCGGAGTTTGGACAGTGCTGCCGGAGTTTGGACAGCGCTGCCGGAGTTTGGGCTGTCTATCCTATTGGTGATCCATGCTGCGCCACATCGCAGGTTGTCATCGATGTAAGCCTACCTACTGTGACCATCCTACAGTTATGCCAGGTGGTGTTGCTCCATTATTACTCTGGCCTATTACAGACTCAGTTACTAGCCAAATTAAAATTTTCAACACCATTTTGATACGTTCCGTTCTAGTCGTCAAACTGTTAAATAGTGTGTGGGACATCCTCGGTCCAGCCTCAATTGTCACAATAATCCAATGTCTGCCTTTTTTAACACCTTTCAATTAATTCTTTAATGTGTCAGCAGTTTTTTGTAATTTAAACTTAGTGTAATTATTTTTGATACTCGGCCTAGCCTAGTTAGAATTAATTTCAGTTTTCTTGACCGGCCTAGTGGGCACAATTGGTTTTTCTTTGTCTCTAAATTTACTTATTCGGCCTTTCATTCTAAATTTGCCCCTAGTGCCTAAGTTAGGTTCTGATATTAATCTTAAACATTTTATTTGAAATCTTGTCGTTTTGACTTTGTAATTCATCATGTCACGACTTACGCTCGATCGTCAATCGTTCAACTGTTTAAGGTGAACTTTTCACCTATTTTGTAGGCCTAACCTTTTAATATTATTCTGTAATTTTTATGTAGGTAATTGAATATATTAATTTTTTACCAACAAATATTGAGTAGGCTAGTTGTAACTTGTAATGATTTGTAATTGTACTCATATATATATATTTTGACTGAGATTAAATGGTATTTGCAATTTCTGTGTTGTTTAATCACCTCCGGAGCTTTGTGACTGCTTATGACGGTTGGGCAGCCATGGGCCGAACCTGGTTAGGTTAGGTTAAGGGTCTAGTGCGTTACAGTTTGGTACTGCATTGTGTTTATTTCATGTTTATTCAACAAGCAATTATTAATATGAATACATTTTTTTATTTTATCTTAGATAGAGCCAAAGAACATTATAAAAATGGAAAAAAGATCAATACATCTTTAGTCTACCTTATTTACCTGATTTTAACACGAATCTTTACAGGTATACAAATCAAATCAACATCGGAAAGAAGTTAAGTTTTATAATAAAATAAAATTCCTATATTTATTGTTGCACTCTCATTTCATTACCTTTGTTTTTACACTCTCTTATGTTTGTATTTAGTATTAGGCCTAACACTATTATGGTAGTATTGACACTGTTCAAGATTTTAAAAGTTCACGTCCGAAAACATTGACGATTGTCCATTTTAAATCATAAAAATAAAAATATCAACATGATAAGCAAAATCTAAATGTATATCTTAGCCTAGCCTACAAGAAGATTCAAGATTGAAACACAGGATTGTACTTCAAGTTTCTTTTTAAAAACACTAGCATCTGCACCCTCTCAGGACCGAGCCGGCTTCTTTTTTTGTCACAGATTGCCAGATGTTGAAAAAAGCCTTTCTGAAAACACCGTGGAAGGTGGAGCTGATAAATATTTGGTGGATAGCTTACTAAGTCCTAGAAAAACTTGTTTTTCCTTTCTCCAAAATTGGGCCACATTTGTGTCCGGAGACACTAGCGGTTCCATGAAGTATTGAGTCATTTCCTTTTCAGCTGTAGTATCCAAAGTCTTTTCATCCTGCTCTGCCCCTTCCATCAGGACTGAGTACCTCTTCCACATCTTCATCATGACTCCAGAGGATGTCAGAAAAAATAATTGTGGGTAAATAAAACCATACAAACAGAAGGTACTACGGACTATGTTAATAATATTACAAACCTGGAAGGGTTACTTATGTTTAAGGAGGCCAATAATTTTAAATTATTTTTAAACTTTTACAAACCAACATAGCCTAACCAAACATTCACAATGGTTGTTTCTGATTGTGTATAATACATAATAGTACACAATTGTGAAAGTTTGGTTAGGTTAGGTTGAGTTACAAAAGTCTAATATAAGGCCGGTCACACACAGAACCAGGCAAGGCGGGGCGCGACAGGGCATTTTGCCCCGGGGCGTCTTGTGCGACGGGAATTGCACGGGCGCTTATGGAGCTCCACACACAGGACCGAGCGAGGCAGGGCATGTCGAAAAGACGCCCCGGGGCGCCCTCAGGGCACGTCGAAAAGACGCCCCGGGGCGCCCTCAGGGCAAAATGCGAAGGTCTCCAAAATTATGCCCCGAGGCAAGTCGCTGCCGGGCAGAACATTCTGCGCATGCGCGGTCACGTGACTAATTTCCTCCACGTGCTTTTATTTACCATGGTTACGATTTCTTTAATTTATTACTATTGTTAAAACATATGTTAATTTCAAATGTAAACAAAACAAGGTCTTACTCTTGTAACCTAGTGTGTTGATTTCGTTTACTCTCGTATATTATTTTTTTCAACATTTTATACTCCAAATCTCACTCTGATATCACCTAGTACCATGTCTTCTGTGACTGAGGTTACGGCTACTGATACAGAAGAACATATTGTAGATGTGGATAAACTGTTGGTTCTTGTTCAAAGCCATCCGGCCATCTACAACTTATCCATGAAAGAACACCACAACCAGGATGTGCTTACCAAGATATGGACACTCATAGCGAATGAACGTTCCAGGTAAATATATATTTTTATTTCATAATTTACGCTCATTAGTAAAACTATATTGGCTCTTAAGAACACATTTAAATAGTTTTGTTTGCAATAATGGAAAAAAATTCAGAGTAAGAGTATTGACCTAAAAATTTCAAAACTTGAATTATAAAAAGCCGCTATTGTAAAATTTACATTGACTTTTTTAAATTAGTTGATAGTTTGAAATAATATTTGACCAACACTGTAGCCTATTATATCATAATGCATTTATGTTAAAAATATCTAGAGGCTACTTTATTTATTCTACAAACAAAATAAATAAGAATGACTGTATTAAAAACTTAAATAAAGTCATTTTAATGAGGATAAAACAAAATTGATAAACTGAAAAATGTGTTTATTTGACATTTAAAAGAATAAACTATAGCCTAGGCCTACTAGTTATAAACATGGACAAAATTAACGATCCAACATAGTTGTATAGTTTTCATGCAATTGATTTGTAATGAACATTTAAACTAATGCCATTTTATCCTGCCAAGGCACTGCGCCTGAAGGAGAGTTGAAATATTTCATGAAATTGTCTCTTACATCGTATGCCGCTTTTGTTGCTCTAGCTCTGACAGCATCCTGTTCAGTATTACAAGTCTCTTCTACGTTCATTATTTCATCATATACCTCTTGTAGATTGCCTTCTCTTGATTGTATGAGGTTGTGAAGAACACAACATGCCAAAACTATCTCCTTTGCTTTGTCAGGATGCACTAGCATTGCTGTTTCCAAAACCCTAAATTTCTTGGTCATCATTCCAAAAGCGCATTCAACAATCCTTCGTGCTCTGGAATGACGATAATTGTAAGTTCTTCTTTCTCTCGTTAACGAGGTTTTAGCGAGCGGCTTCATCATATTTTTGTGTAGGGAGTATGCTTCGTCTCCCACAAAAACATAAGGAAATAGTGTAGGCTTATCTCTGTACAATGTTCTCGGCTTTGGTAGTTTCAGTTTCATGTCATTGAACAAACGTCCAATTGTCGATGAAATAAAAACACCTCCATCACTATTTTTTCCAGCTTCGCCCACATCTACCACTAGAAATTTACCATCTGCGTCGACTACAGCTTGAAGTATGATAGAATTGTATGACTTATAATTGAAAAACATCGATCCACTGTTCCATGGAGCCTCAAGCCTAATATGTTTTCCATCGATAGCCCCACAGCAGTTAGGAAAGTTCCAAAGCTCTTCGAATCTATTAGCAATCTTTAACCATCCCTCGGGTGGTGGATCTTGCATTAAATAATTTGGTGTCAATGTTTCCCAAAGAGCAACACATGT